GTTTGTCGTTCCGGTGATTTTTGTTTCTTGAGTTCTTCAGTCAATTCAACTGGACTTTGGGAGGCGGCAAGGGGGGGGGGAGGGGAAGAAGAAGAGACAAACAAACGATACGTAAATATATATTTCTGAATATATACGTTCAGAAGGTAACAAACAAACAAAAAGAAAAAAAAGGAGAGAGAGAGAGAGAAGGGAGGAGAGGGAGGGAGGGAGAAATCCGTGTGTGGACCCGCTGTTCCCCTCCGCCGTGTCCTACTTTTTTGTGTGTGTGTGTGTGTGTGTGTTTTTGTTGTTTATTTCACATTTGAGTTCCTCCGTTCTTACCTTTTTTTTTTGTGTTTGTTTGTTTGTTTGTTGGTGTTGTTGTTGTCAGTCAATCACATATTTTGTAATGTATACCCGCACATGGAAGCAGATATATATATATATATATATATGAAGATATGCCTACATGTATCTGTGCCTTATAATTGTTGAAGCGAAAGACAGAGAGCGTTTTTGTTTTAGTTTTTGGTTTTTTTTTTTGTGTTTTGTTTTGTTTTGGTTTGTTTTTGTTTTTTTGCCGTCGTTGTTGTTTTTGTTTTTTGTTTCGTGCGTGTGTTTTTCTCTGCGTGTGTCTTTTAAGAAGAAGAAGAAGAGGGGAAAAGAGGGAATGGGAGGGGATTCATCGCAGTGTCTCTCTCTCTCTCTCTCTCTGGCCTCCGGTTATTTGTGTTGTTTCTGTGCGGGATGAGGCGACTGACTTTGAGGCGCGTGTGGTGAGGAAGGAGGGAAGGAGGGAAGGCGTGTGTCTCGTCCATGACTTCCCCCCCCCCCCCCGCGAGTGGGAAGGGAACCCCGTGACCCCTGCAGCGAACGTCATTTTGGTTTTGGTGGTGTTTTTTTACTTCTGAGGCTTTTGGAGGTAAATGGGCGATCGGATGGAGCAAAGGAGACGACAGCGGGTCTTTTTGGTCGACCCCCCTGTTTCTTTATGCATCAACTGTTTTTTTGTTTGTTTGTTTTCCCTTTCGTCTCCTCTTATTTTCCTCAGTTTTTTTTTTTTTGCTTTTTTTCCTCACAAAAGTCCCCCGCTCCCGCTCCCGCTCCCCCTCTCTTTTGACACCTGCCCACGGTGGGGAAAGAAAAGAAAAAAGACTGAAAAGAAATGAAAAAAAAAAAAAAAAAGGAAAATAGAAGAAAAGGAGTGCGCATGCGGCATTTTGAGTTCTTCCTGGCACAAATTTATATTTATACATTTTATTTACTTTCGCGCGTTTTGGCTGGTTGGTTCTGAGCTCCACCGCACCTTTTTTTTTTTTTTTTTGACATTCCCCTTTACTGTTGTTGTTATTATTATTACTACTAATCTTACTATTACTATTATTATTATTATTATTATTGTTAGTACTAATATTCCTTTCTTCGTGCGTGTTTGGAGACTGTAGATATGCGGTTTTGTTTGTTTGTTTGTTTGTTGTTAATAAAAAGAAAAAAGAAATGAAAAGTAAATTTGTCGTTGTCGTTGTTACTTGTTGTTTTCGTGATGAATGGGGTGAAATAATCTACATGGCCTTGGTAGATATTTTTGTGGCTGGCTTTGTTGTGGTTGTGGCTGCGTTTTGTACACGTGCCCTGCACGCATGTACACACCGCGACTGCAGAGCATGTCTGGTTGTTTCTGGAAGGGGAAAAGGGGGGAGGGGGGGGGAAAAAAGACATTTGTCCTGATGGACATCAGAGAAATGAAGGGGAGCGAACTGCCGTCCCCCTCTCTCTCTCTCTGTTTGTGTGTGTGTGTGTGTGTGGGCGGGTGGGTGGGTTTTCCTCTCTTTTTCTCTTCCTTTTTTTTTTTTGTTTTTTATCTTCGGGGGGGGTTAAAGGGAAAGAAAGAGGGAGAGGAAGGGGGTTTCACAGAATTAACCCGGCCATGACTCCGCGCTTCCCCAATGTTTATTTCTTTTTTTTTTTTTTTTTTTTTTTTCCGTTGTTTGTTTTTGTTTCCTTCAATTCTTACTGCCTTCTGTTTGGATCTTTCTTTTTCTTTCTCTCTTTCTCTTCTTCTTTTTCTTTTGCTCTTGTGTGCGCACACCCGCCAGTAGTTGGATCTAAATATACCGAAGGCTTATCCCCGCACAGCAATCGTAGAGCCCACAGGGAGAGAGGGGGGAAAAGAAAACAGAAAAAAAAAAAAAAAAAAAAAAAAGAGAAGGGTTGTCTTTGTGTGCCTGCGTGGCGGAAGTGCAGCCGCAGGTCAAAAAGGGGATAATACGGACCCGTCTACCCGGTCGCCCATTTGCTGCCACATCATCCTCCAGGCGGTTGGAGGGAGAAGGGGGGCGGAGGTTAGGGGGGCGGAACTAAAGCAAGCAAGCAGGAAGAAAAGCGGAGGGGTGAATTTGTGAAGTGGGAATCCTTCTTTTTCTTCCCTCAGACTGAGAGAGAGAGATATATAGATACATATATATATCTTGCACGCACTCACACCGCTTGCAGGTGTTCTCCGCCGCTTCATTGGATTTCGTCATTTTTGTTTGTTTGTTTGTTTTTGTCTTTGGTTCCGTAAGAGAGAAAGAGGGGCGCCACTTCCTTTTCTTTTTTGTTGTTGTTGTTTGTTGACTGACAGTTTTTGGGCGTTTTTTTTTTTTTTTTTGTCTCTCTCTGTGTGTGTGTGTGGGACGCGTGGGAGAACTCCACGGCTGCATTTTGTCCCCTCGCACAAAACAACACCCACACGTAATTTTTCGGCCATCGCCCCGGCGTTTTTGTGCGGGTGGCGGTTTTGGTTGAGGAGGCACCCCTTGCGTGTCGTCTCGAGTGCGTCGCCCACAGAAAGCGGAGGCGGGGCGGCGAGAAGCGGAAAAAAAAAAAAAAAGAAAATTTAGAGAAGAAGACGCCCGCCCGAATAACAACGGGAGGTGCAGAAAAAGAAAACAAATAATTAAAAAAAAAACAAATAATTAAAAAAAGGAGAAAAAAAAAAAAGGGGAAAAAAAACCCACGAGTGTGTGCGTGTTTGTATAAAAATATTTATTTATTTATATCAGGGGGGCGGCTGCAAAATAGCAAAGAAGAGAAGAAAAGAAAACAAAAGCGACAAAAGGGGGGAAAAAAAAAAAAAAAGGTGGGGGTGGGAGAAAAGGGGGGGAAGTTGTCTGTTTGTGCGCAGCAGCAGCAGCAGCAGGAAGAAGAAGAAGAAGAGGAGGAGGAGGAAAACACATTCATTCGTTTGTGTGTTGTTTGTTCTTAACTGTTGTTTGTTTTCTGGTTTTAACTGTTTGCGGATTTGTACCTTTTTTTTTTGTTTTGTTTTTTGTTTCTTTTCGTTTCTTTTCGAGTTTCTCTCTGTTTATCTCGCTTGTGCGTGTTTGTGTGGTTGGACACCAGATAGTACCTGGAATATCTTTGACTTTATTTTTATCGCCAAACAGAGAAAGGGGGAGGGAGGAAGAGGGGGGGGGGGAAACTGAATTGTATACATAACCACATTTCATTGCATTGCATTACAAGGATACCAATACACATACAAAATACACCTGTTTGTTCGTGTGTGTGTGTGTGTGTGTGTGTTTATAAATATATTACTGCTTTGAACTCTTGCTTACAAAATACTTTTTTTTTTTTTTTTTACTGCCGTTTTTGCTTCTCTTTTCACTCTCACTCTCTCACTGTGTGTGTGTGTGTGTGTGTGTGTTGTTTTATTAACGCAAACATTTGTTCATTAGTCTTCATTTAAAACAAGGAGGAGGAGGGGCAAGAGAAAAAAGGAAAGTTCCCCTTTTGTGTGTGCGTGTGTGTTGTTAGAAGAACTCTTTTCTTTTTCTTTTGCCTTTCGCCTTTTTTTTTTTTTTTTGCTGTTTGAAATCCCGCTTTTTTTTTTTATTTATTTATTTTATTTATTATTTTTCTCTTCCCCTTTTTGTTTTTGTGGTGTGTGCGTTGAAAGAAAAAAAAAAAAAAAAAAGAGAAGTTAAAAGGAAAAAAAGAGAGGGAAGAGGGGCATTTTTTCTTTTGTCTTTTGTTTTTTCCCCGTTTTCAAAAACCGGATTTTTTGTTTTGTTTTTGTTTTTGTTTTGTTTTTGTCCATTTTTATTTTATCCCTTTGCGTGTGTGATTGTGGACGGTTATTTGTGTGTTTGACGTTGGCTGCCTTCTGGGATGCTCGTGGAATGTGGAGCGGGCAATCCGATGGGTTTCCGTCTCATGCCCTCGGATGAAGTGCGGAATTTCATTTCTTCACCCATGACCTCGGCTTTTGGTGATTTATGTGGAACTGGATACACGCTCTTTCATAAATGCGCTGGGACGGAGAGTGGGAGCAGCAATGAGACCAGCACTGCCACAACATTTCTGTCGCAGTCACCAAGTAGGACAGACGGCGTACTTACAAGCAGCCATAACAGCTCTGTAGAGGTGGGTTCAGTTAGGGGGGTGTCGTTTGCGATCCCGTCTAATGAAAACTGGAATCTCGGACAGACACAAAAGCCCCTGTGTGACCGGTATGCTGTTTCCTTCGATGAGGTTCGCTACAATTATAATACAGCAAATGGAAACGAGACAAGTGGAAATGTTTTTCTTATGCGTGATCCTCTATCATCGTGGAAATCGTCTCTGGGGCCATTTAACACGGATACAGGATCGGGTGGCTCTGGTTCGACGAGGAACGGAACGTTTTCCATGAACGGTGCGACAGAATTCAATAGGGTCAACACCGCATCCTCGTTTGTTGGTTGCAATGACATTCCTACATCCCCTGGTGTATCGCACAGTGGGATAAATATCAGCATTGGTGCTGCTGGTAGGAGCATGTTGGGACAGAAGAACTCGCTGAAGGTACGGCAGCCATCGTGGGCGCCGCCTGAACAACTACGCGTGATGATGTCGTCACTTCTGTGCTTCTCAAATTTTGATGGGGAAAAGCGTTTGAAGGAGAAGACGCTGCGTTTCAAGATGTTGCCATCACCCGTACCATACGAATTGTTTTTTGCGGAAACGCTTTCAAACCCCTCAGTAGAAAGAATGAATCAGTACAGGTCAACGATGATGCGCTGGTACAAGCGCATCCTGCCGGCGCAGGAAAACACACGCGCCCGCGTTCGTCAACGGTGCCCCTCACCGCCCAAACGCCTTATTCAGGAAGCCGCGATCTTAGATGCTGCGGAGCTGCAATCGTGGTCGGAGCAATGTTGCCGGTGGTGGGATGAGACTTCACGAAAGCGAACGCGTCGTGGACACCGGGGCGGAAAAGCGGTGGTAAATATGGGGAACGCCCAGATGAGCGCTGCCAAGCAGCAGAGAGAAATTGAGAATGCCAATCTTGCCGGGGATGAAAAGAGGCATTTCACAGCGGGGCATTCAAACTTTTTACCTTCAGCAGCGGATGCCTCACTGCGTGCACAACTTGATGAAGAAAATGACCAAGCATGGATGAATTGGGTTAAAGATAATTTGGAGGAAACGTTCCTAAAAGAAGAGTAGGACAAGAAGGCATGAGAAATGCTGAGCGGAAAGAGAAGAAAAAGAAAAAGAAAAGAAAAGAAGAAAAAAAAAGTTTTTTTTTTCCCCCCTTTTGGATGGCTGTTTGTTTGTTTGTTTTATTTACATGTGTGCACAAAGAGGCATTTATATTTATATAAAAAAATAAAGGAAGAATCGGGAGGAGCGAAAAAAAAAAAAAAAAACAAGAGGAGGAAAAGAGAGATGTTTTCTGTTACTTCGTGTATTTGTGCGTGCGATGGGTTATTATAGCAAAGGGGGGGGGGGGGGGGCAAAAGTTTTGACACATTTGTGTGTATTTTTGAGGACTGTCACAGTCGAGGGCACTGTGTGTGTGTGGGGCGGGGGGGAAGAGGAGGGGGAAAGGGAAGACATGAGTTTCTAAAGTTAAAAAATGAAACATGTTTTTCTGGGATGCGACCACCCCCCTTTTTTTTCTTTTTGTGCGTGTGTGTGTGGTTTGAGGGGAAGGGAAGAAGAAGGGGGGTGGGGGGGGGAAGTGTAGGTGATGATACGGAACAAAAAGAAGAAGAAAGGAAAGAAAACTTGTTACATGTATGCATGCATGTAACATATATTTATATTTATATATATATTTATATGTACATATTTATTTGTAGTTATTTTATTTTATTTTATTTATTAATTATTGCGCATGTATGGGAAAATTGTTTTGGGTGAAATGAAGTCGCGGAAAATACACATATTTTTTTATGGGTTGTTGCTGTTTTAATTCGTAGACATTCATTCATTCATTTACAAGTTGTTCTTCCACGTCTCTGCCCCCTTTTTTTTTACCCCCCCATAATTTAGTTGCGCAGCGGGAGAGGGAAGGGAAGGGAAGGGAAGGGAAGGGAGGGTTGGTCGCTTTGCATTCATTTTACCACCTGATTTCTTTTTCTTTTTTTGCTTTTTTTGCTTTTTTTTTTTTTTTTTTTAAGCCCAAATGCGTCCTCCCAACACGTTGATGTCTTCCATGTGATTTCGCCTGCCACACAACCCCGCCTTACATGTGGCAAACGGTAAAAAGGAAGGAAGAGGGAAGAAAAAAAAAAGAAAAAGGGGGGGGGGAGTGGGGGGGAAGTAACAGTAAAGGAAGAGAAAACGATGATGCCAACGAAGATATGCATCGAATATATACGAAACAAAGAATGGGAGTACTGATAAAAATAAAAAAACTAAGACCGAGGGAAGGGGAGTGGTGTGGTGTAAACAAAAAGAAAAAAAAAAAGAGGGGGCATGAAATGGGAAGCCGTCCCCCTTTCTCTTCAATTGTGTGTTCCGTGGGAGAAACCGGGTGAGCATGGCGAGGGTAAATGTATAATGGGCGGGGGAAAGTGTATTTTTGCCTCGGATTTTTTAAAGACCACGTGTGTGTTTGCTACCTATATATAATCCATATATAATCAATGTACACATACGGGTTTGCGCATGAGAAACTTATTCGGCGCGAAATGCGGAGCGGAGTTTAGAGGCAGACACTCACACTTACACACATACACACATCTCACTTCCTTTCTCTCTTTATAGAAGACTCGAAGTCTGTCTGCAGGATGTCGATTCAAGATCCTTTCGGGACACTTAAATATATATATATATATTTGGTTATAATAACTCTTTGCTCCTTTTTGCTTTTTTGCTTTTTTTTTTTTTTTTTTTTGGTGATTGGGGGTCGGTGGGGGGGGGAAAAGGGATTTCGGTATCTTTTTTTTTGTTTGTTTTTGTCTTCTGTCTTCTTTCATTTTTTTTTTTTTTCCCACACACACACACCGAAAAATCAATAAAAATCAATTAAATAAAAAAAAAACCGAAATTAAATCTTCTCTTTTGTCTTTTTTTTTTTTTTTTTCAATTAAAAAAAAAGTACATGACATGCGAGGCTTTACTTGACTGCAGTTTTTGTTTTGTTTGCCTCCTCGCGACCCGCGCGGACACACGCACGCACGCCAACAACAACAACAACACTGCCGCCACCTTTTGTTTGCCCCATCCGTTTTTTATTCTTTTGGTTTTGGTTTTGGTTTTGGTTTTTTCGCCCTCGAAACAATAAGAAAGGGACACCCACCAGGAATCACAGAAGCAAAAAAAAAAAAAAAAAAGGCCGCCGAAGTGAACCGGCAGGGAGGAAAAGGGTGAACGGAGCGGGCGTTCTTCACGACGGCGCGAAACCGCCGCTTTGCTCCCACTCATTCGGCAAAACTTAAGGGATGAAGATGTGCCTTGGCCGCTGGACGGATCCTGAAATTATCCCAGCAAACCCGACGATATAGGAAGGAAAAGGAAGTCAAAGCAGGTGCGGGCAATCGCCTCAATAGTTTATTCCGATTTGTTTCTGTTCTTTTGACCACTCTCTTGACGCTTTTTGCTCAAATAAGATTCGATACGCTATTACCTACGAGGTGGCGGACTCCGGGGTCCTCCGACCACAAGACCCCGCCGCTCCCCTTCGCAAGTTCCACCCTTCGCCAATTCCTGAAGTGTAAAAACACGACCGCGTGATATGCCGTCTGCGGGGTTTTCCGCAGACCGTACGTATGCAAAGAATGTCTTTACTCCGCGAGAGCCCAAAAACTCATATATCCGTCGCAGCTCCCACGTCATGGCGTGTGATTTCGAGCTGCCTTTATTCGCCGCTCCTTGCAGCGAAGTGTTGTCCACCCAAACGCCCATAGTGGATGGCAAGATGGCGGAAAAGGCCGATAAGGCCAAGCGTACCGCGTGCCTCGGCCTGCATGATAAGAAAAGGCATCTTCCATTTCCCACTTTCATCCGGCAATTTTAACGTCGCCGGGGTCTGGAATTTAAACGGCTCCCCATCCATGGAGCGATGCATCCGTGATGATGGTAGCCGATGCTTCCTCGGTGGGCTTGATGATTCGCTTGCGATTGTTCTCGATGGTGTGTCGCAACCTCTCGCCCAAACCAACCGCTGCCGACGGAACGTTCGCCGGGGATGTCTCCAGCACAATTCCCCGGTTAAGTGCGGACAATCGTCGTCGCACTGCCTTGATGAAAAAGTAGTATTCGCATAAACGCATGCCCAAAATGGCGGCCGCGTACAAAAAACGTGACGCCATAACCTCCATTCCCGCGACGGTTGAAGAATTGAGCGACGGCACGGCGCGTACAGACCGGACAAACCTTTCACTCAGGGATACCGCCCGGTGAGTGTGATCAAACTGCACCCCAGGAAGGTGTACTGCATAGCGCCCGATTCGCGGCCCTCCCCTATCGTGGCGTGACGCCTGCCCGCATTACGAAGCACTTGGGCTTCCCACAATGTCGCGTCGCCTATCGACCCTGCAATGCGTATATTACCGATCCATACGACGACACGCAGCGATGGAGGTGCGGCCCAGAGGCGGTGAGCCACCGTCGTCACCCCCGCAATTGCTGAAGTAATAATAATCCGGAGAATTTCTGGGCCGGCCTTGCGTCCCACCGGGAGCCGTGTCAGCTCCACCAGCGTGCCGTCCTCCACGTGGCATCGAAAGAGATGCCGAGTCTCCCGCGGTAAAGAGACTATGAAGGACGACTTTACATCCAGGCAGGAAGCGGCCTCAGCCATCACAGGCGGCAAATAATGATAAATGTGCAAAAGAGGAACATTAGCCTCATAAGGTCGTCTCTGTTCTCGCCGCGTGGCCACGCGATCCATCGTCGTCGTGAACCGGTGGTTTTCTCCTCCACAACCGGGAAAGGGTATTATCCATCCGCCTGTTATTGTGGATGAACCGTCCTCGATTATTCCTGCTTTTCGTAACAATCTCGCGTCAGCGTTCGAAATCCTCCGTGAGCCCCCGCGCGCTTTCCCAGAGGAAAGGGAAACGGGGGGAAAGGGGACCGCCCGACGAGTCCCCAAACTTGCATGAGCCTCTCCAAGGTGGCCGGGTTCAACAGACTTTTAATCCACTCTAGGTTCAATACGGGCACGTTGGCTTGCCGTAGCGGGATGGTTCGTTCCTCTGGTGGAGTGGCCAGACGCGTCCTTGTCGCGCGTCTCGTTATTGTTGCGGCATGATTGTGATTAAAATCATGAGAAAAACGCTCCTCCGCTCTCAGCCAGGGTTCCTGCCCTTCCGCAGCTTCTCCCTTCACATCAATGCGACCAGCGACGATACCTGGGTCAGCATTGTGGTGCACCTCCACAAATAACAAACTGTGTTATGGGGAAGGTCGAACGGGTCGACGTGCTTCGCCAACTGCGAGATCACATGTGGATTCAAATCGTGTGTCTCCACGATTGGAGCAGCGTGCCTCAACGCACCGTGTTTTATGGAATGCGCCGTGGCGCACCAAGGAGCCAGAGCTCTTTCGATTTGAACGGTCATAATATTCGTGAGCCTTACGCTGCGACGGAGTGTCCCGCGTAGATTTATAGTGTCGAACGCGTCCTGCCCTCGTATCCTGTCGGACAGCGGGGCGCGGCGGGAACCCGCCCCAACGCTTTTTGAGCCACGGAACAATCCAAAATTATGACCCCGTCCGGCTCCGTTGTGAAATTGTTGGGTGTCAAGGCCGCAATTCCGGACCAACGACTCGCCGTTATACACGCAAGTCGTACGACAACACGTTCCTTCCAATCGGTCCGGCTGCGGATACATTCCTCGGTCCCTTTCTTTGTCGAGGGGCGCGCCTGCTTCACCACCGATCGCGCCGCAATTTTTTGCAACCCCAGAATCATCATGTCCAGCGGGGTTGGATTCATTTCCGACACGGACCGCAGCGTCCTGGAGTGCTGCTGTCGGGTCGATGGCGCGACTTCGATTGCCATCAAAAAGGCCGCACAGCTCTCCTCGTTTATCGGCTGTTCGTGCGTGCGGCAAAAAGTCGTGAATCGCCCCGCTAGGGACATTCCACGCTCCCACGTTGACGGCGCCCACGTCTGTCGAGCCTACTCGTTCGCTCTCCTCATATAGCTGGCCCAAAGCGGGGATGTCGGTGTTTCGTTGTGCCACAGTCGAGCGTCGTTGGCAGATAAGCTCCATCGCCCTTCTCGACGATTTCGTCGGGCAATTTGAAAGATCGGATGGAGCGTCGGCGGTGCGGTGCGCTGCCTGTGAAGATTGGTGGGCGACGGGACGGATTCGATGGCGCTCCCGTCGTCAGCATTCGTCGGCGGTAAGCGGTCTCCTTGCCCCTTTTCGTGCGGCTATTTATGCCGTGAGTGGTTCCTTCTGGCCGTGCCTCGGAATTTGCACGGGGACGCGTCGCGCCCATAAAAACGACACAATTAGCGTTGCAAGGGTCGCGGTCGTGGTGGTAGGGTTCCTGTTGATCCGTGAAAGGCCGAGCCGCCCTCGCGGAGGCGTCGCCCCCAGGAGAAGCCGTATGAAGGCGGGCCCGAAGATTCTAGATCGGTATACTTGAATCGGCTCCGTCATGGTCCGCGCACGAAAGGCCTGCAGTATAACCCTGCCAAGGCACACGAACTGTTGGTAGTGTCCCGATAAAACCGCAAAGCGCACACCCACGAAGCCAGAAACTCAAAGGCAATTTGGACGCGAGCGACGCCCTGGTGCCGGCAATCGCGCGCTCCGGATTCCAAAGAGGGTTTATAGTACGCATTCGTTCCGAATTCGCTGGAGCCAAGTGTTGACGTCAAATTGGAGGAAAAGCGCCGCCTGGTCCTACAGACCCGAGTCGTCCGGAGGGACGCGCCGGAGGGCGAAGCCATGGAGCGAGGGAAACGTGGTCGCCCAAAATTCCCAAACGACGTATGACTATTGACCCGCCGTCGCTCTCTCGTGGAAATGGGTCGGAAATTGCGGATACTGGCGCGCACCCTTCCGCCAAACGCTCGTGGCGGAGCGTGGTCGCGACGCCGTCTTCAGCTTCGTGTGCGGGTGCGTCCGGCGTTCCTCTCGTAGAAGAGGGAACTTCTAGCTGCCCGGACTTATCGACTCTTCCAAGGCGCTGAGGCGTACCTCTCGTTTCTTGGGTTGTCTCCAAATGGCGTTCGCGCCCGGCAAACGCCGATTCCCGTCGCGCAAGACCGTCCGCCACCGCAGCGCTGGACGCGCGGGTCGAGAAGTAGTCATTCGCTTCCTCCATCTGATATTGAGGCTGCGCGCTTCACTCTCTCACGTCGGCGACGGCGTCTTCCGAGTCTATTCTTTGGCTTTTCGCAATGGTCGGCCCTTGCCGGACCCAAATCTCACGGGCGGCCCTCAAACGATGGCGGGGGCACCTGAGTCTCGAAATTTGGTACTCGAGGAGCTCGGCGATTTGACAAGTGCCCCCGCAAGGTTTGAACCCTCTTATTGCAAGTCAATGTTTCTCAAAATCAAATTGAAGCTATGAAAGTTAGCGCTGTCAGTCGGCGTTGATTCAGGCTGTCCCTTTCCATTTGTGCATGGGAGTTGCGCCTGTATCTCGCCGTGTTGGCGCGCAAGATCCGCCACAAGATCACCGATAAGGCACCATTCCGTTGCAGTTTAAGGACCCATCACCATTTCTTTATATTAAACTCGCGGTAATTGGGCTTGGCTGTAAGAATAAAAATAAAAATAAAATAACTAAATTTGTACAGACGTTATTACTTCCCTGATTCCTAGAATCACAGTCAACAAAGAAATCATAAAGCAGAGGAAGAAGGTCTTACAGAGTTTGCTTTATCAGGATGAATATTAAATTATTTAGCCAGATTTCCCGCCAACAGTCCCTTTACGAGCGCCTATGGCATTCATCCGGGTCGCTGACCGGACGTTGCGGTTGCCAACAGAAGCCGCACAAGACGGGAATGAAAAGGTGTGAACGGAATGGGGACGGGGTTCGCCAGATCCACGACGGGCATTCACACCAAGTGGGTGCATATTTCTGTATGCGCCCTGTGGTGGCCACTTTCGCGGCGTGATCCCTCCATTCGGATTGGACATGTATGTATGTATTTTTTTTCGAAGGCTCCTATGTGGTCGCTACGCGAAGACACGAGTTGGCCACAGACACAGCGATCGGCGTCCCATGCTGCGAGGAGTTCCTCAGGGGTCCGTACTGGGACCATATTTGTTCTCCCTTTACGTACACCCACTTCTCAATCTGCTGAACAGCTTTGCGGGTGTCACAGCAGACATGTATGCGGACGACCTCTCTATTATCGTTAAGGGGCATTCCCGGGAAGGCGCCATTCCCACTGCCAACATGGTTCTTCAAAAACTGCATGCGTGGAGTCAGGAAAATGGCTTGGCCATCAACCCGTCAAATTGTGAAGCTGCTTGGTTCACACTATCCACGCACACGGAGTCAGATTATGATCGTGAAGGAAAGTGGCCCCTGGTAGTGGCTGGATGTCAAATCCCAGTCATGACCATGGGGGCGTCGCGAACTACGAAGCTTCTCGGCATGGATCTCGATCCACGACTGACGCTAAATGTGGCGGCCACCAAGCAATGCGCTGCCACTTCGCAGCGGACATCGCAGCTACGCCGCATAGCGCACAAAGAGGCGGGACCATCTCCACATGACCCACGCACGTTCGTCATTGGATACGGTGCTTCCAAATTACGCTATGGCAGCGAGCTCGTATGGGCAGTAGCGACGGATTCAGCGAAGAATGAGATGCAGAAGACGTACGCAACTCTGGCACGCATTGTCAGCGGAGTTCCGAGCACTGTCGACCCGGAATCCGCACTACTGGAGGCTAATATGCCGCCGCTCCACGTCCTTTGCCTGCGCGCGCGGCTCTCAATATTTGAGAACACACGCGCATGTCAGACGGACTGGATGCGGAGACCCCCGCCTGAGCCACCGCCTCGCGCTGGTTTCCGCATCTCGCCATTATCTCGGGACGAGCTATATGCCTTCGTAGACGCATACACAAAGGACTATGGCATCACCGAGAGCTCACCACGCGAAGAGCGGTTCTTTCGCAGCTCCATTCCTCCCTGGTTTGCGGCCTCCGCTCACCGGGTCACCATCGGTGTGGAACTTCCGATAGACCACTCAATAACTGACGAAGAGGAGCTGATACGGGGAAAGCGCAGAGTCAGCGAAGAGGCTCTAGCGCTGCACAGCCACCGCTCGTGGATACTTGCGACTGATGGCGGTGTCGACGTTCCCAAGTCAGCAGGGGTTGGCATACCGCCTTCATCCCTCAACTCATCGGAGATAATAGAAAAGGCCAGCATAAACTGCGGTGCACGCCCATGCAGCTACAGGACGGAATCCCGTGCGCTGCTTCTAGCCCTAGAGAAGCTGATGATTCCTCGTATCCGCCACAGGCGTAAAACCCTGCTTGTGGTTACGGACAGTCAGTCTCTTCTAGCGGCTCTAAACAAGGGCCCGCTCAGTCAGACAGACCGGACGGAGGATCAGATCTGGCAGCGTCTATTAACACTGACGTGTGCTGGCTGGTCCGTGCACCTGCAGTTTTGTTACGGACATTGCGGAGTACATGCTAACGAGCCTGCAGATC